TATTCCCTAATTATTATGATAATAAATGAATCTTAGAGACGAGCTTCTCTGCGAGGCAGACATATCCTCACATATACATTTCAGACAACGTGAAAAACAAAGAACTCCATCTATTTGGTATGTTGAATGAGCTTGATATAGGTAAATCTATGGAACTCTTTCTTGGACCACCTTCTTAGGTGGAGAACTATTTTCTAGTGATGGCATGAGCATTTATCATGGACTATTTAGTTTATCTTCATTTTCTGCATTCTCTGACATGATACTTCATCTGCTACGTTTTTCTTTAGAACGTGACACTACTTACTAATATTTAGTAGTTTATATTTTATGACAATAATTTGCAACTGTACTTGATGTTCTCACCTCACGGCATCACACCATTCATTTCAGACATTCATAATCCTACTTATATGTTGGTTTGTTTTGCCACCTATGTGAATATTTTTCATGTAGATGATATTTTTGATTTTGTGATGTGTGGCACTTTTCCAATCATGATTTATTATGCTGATGAGGCAAATATCTACGAATGATATCATCAAATGATGTAAGAAATTGCAAAATAAATTTAACAAATATTGTAGCCACGAACAAGTTATTCTAATTCTTTTTCCTGAATTTAAAGAAACACAAATACAATTTGTGAATAAATGAATCCATTTCAGTTTGGAAGGGAAAAGTAACTGAGTGTGTTATGCTGGTCACTCGAATGGTGGTCTCTCAGGTGATTCAATTCACACTTAAACAACTCGATAGATGAAGCTTCAGACGAGCACTGGGGTTCCGCGTTAAATTTGTTGACATTTAACCAGGAAGTTCAATTATCTGTTGACAAGTAGTTTGTGAAAATATTTCGTGTTCTGGAACTTTTATTATAGGAACGAAAAAAAGCAGTGATGAAAATTAAGAATTCGGAAACTGAAAATTGTAACTAGGCAAAATATAGATATTCTACGTAAAAATAATCTATCAGATTAAAGTTACTATTCTACATAAATGCATAGGAACATGTAAATATGTATAGCGGTGTGAAGGTGAAGTATTCACATGGAGAGGGAGCCGGCAAAAATGGAGATCACATTTGTCAAGCAAAGCACACTGATGGTATCACGGACGATGTGAAGGTTAGATTGAAGGAGGAGAGCCTGACGGACGGAGGGATGAACAAGCGTCCAATCAGTCGAAGGAAAAATCGATTAGATTATCAGCTTATAAAAAGTACTTCTTACTAGCATCTACTTTTTGTTCTGAAAATACAAAATGAACACGGAAGTTTTTAAGAAAAATAAAGAAATATGATTCAAGAATAAATGTCAGTACATAGGAATAGGATAGATTGACGAGATCAGGACAGGTTAAGTAGGGTTCAGAAAGAAAAAGATTTCCAATGAAATATGTTGCTGAATAAAATATTACACAAAATAGATTAGATAATTAAGAAACAACCGTTACATAAATCAAGTATAAATAACAAACAAACAAATAGGAAGTTGTATGTTGCTTCAGTCACTTAGTAAGGCCTTATTTTAGTCATTTGTGAACGTTTCAGTTGATAAGCTTAGTAAGAGAAAAAAAATATCAAGTGAAGTAATATGATGTCGTGTTCATCTGTATCTCTGGTATGTGTGTGTACAGTAATCAATTCCAATACTCAGCAAAATACTTATCTAATTTGTGTGCAGAGGTCAGGTGTTCACGCACAAGACCGAAGCTCCTGGGCTCGAATCCTGTGAGGTGTAGGAGTCGTGGATGCGCGCTGCTGATGAGTCCAGTACCAGGACGAAACGGCCGTCCAGTGCTTCCAGGTTTTTGATGGTGGCCTGATATTGATCAATTCATGGTTTTAAATGTATAACATAACAGTCTCCACAATCCTGTGATGCGATTTCATTTGATGCAAATTTCTAATGAGAAGTATCTATCAATGGAACTGTCGAAGTGATGCATGGTCGATCATTTGAAAGCATGAAATAAACATTACGGTTTCCAGCTAATTTGAAACTGCCTATGTTGTGTAATGATGTCAATTTTGCACTGATAACCATAATACTTATTTTCAAGTTTTGAATTATGTTCGTGCTTCAACAGTGAGATTATTATTGAAGCCACTGAAGTAAAAAAATTTCCATTCCGCATCCCTTAACCCATACTACTATCACTATGTGATTTGAGTAGTAGTCTTACTAGATGGTTTATGATGACTTACGATTTAGGCATTTTCCAGTGTAATTTTAGGTACGTTGAAAATCGTATTTTTACTGATATTTCTCCTCAGCCCATTGAGACAGAACTAATTCGTCACGAAATAATAGTTTTTACAGTCAGTTAGTGTGAATTCATTTTCATTAATGTGTTAAGCTAATTTATTCATATCACACTGTTCACTGAAACTTTCAACAATGTCTATTATATTCTCTGAGTATACTACAGAAATGTCTTTTCAAATATTCTCATCTCTAATACTACTAACTTAAATAAGTAGCTTCAGTCAGACTAAAAACTTGTAGCATCTCACCATTCATTCAAAGTACTTCAATAATAAGTCGTTTAAATTATTCGATAACAGTAGTTAGTATCGAACATTGTTTTTTATACTGGTGATAATCCGATTACAATATCGACTATTGTACGTTTGATTGTGTGTGGATGCTTATTCGTTTATCACATGTCTAGCTTATTATTATTGCTTGACTATAAATATACTTAGCCATTCTTCAACACAAGGAGAGTTATAGCTAACTAACCTTCACCAATTCACTTCGTTTTTGCTTGTACGTTTTCCATTCTTATGCTTGTCTGCATAAATGAACACACATGAAATAAATTCATTTGTGAAACAGTATTTGGCCTTTTTATTACCACTGTCGCACAAACAGGGTTTGCCCAATTATAATATACGGAAGTGGACACAGGGAGATTTATTTCATTGCACACTGAATTATTCGTCCACACTGGAGTTCAGTCGTGAGTCGCTAAAAACTTAATAAGTAGGATCAATCAATTCACAAATGAAGATATCATACACAGAAATGAAAAATGTTTCTGTTTACTTCAACTACAATGGGATTTGCAGTGACAACTGCATCTCTCTGTGCTAATGTAGAATGGCAACTTGAACTGATATACGTATGTACAAAGTTCTATGTTGTTGTTGACTGACTGACTTTTGTGATTTTTAATCGTGATCACAAATCACTGTGTATGTTCACAGTTCTAAAATTTTCTATTATGATTACTTTTTTTTGAGATTTAATCAAAGTAAACAGTTTTTGATCATTAAATTCTTTTATAAATTTTTGCAAAACCCCAAATAAACTGGAAATGGGGGGGGGTGTTTAGCAATTAAAAATCAAAATTATGGATTAATGATTAGCTCATTTTATTTTTTACAATTGTAATGTATGATTTATAAGGATCAGTAAATTATTCTTCATTGAACCATCCACCGAATGAAGTAAATCATTCAATCATAAGGAAAAGGTTACAACAAAATTTCAAAATATTCAACAGTGTAACAAAAGAACAATTCAGCCGAAGTGAGAAAGCTTCAGTATGGTATTTTTTTGTTGAAGTTTTTGGTGAACTTGATAGATTTCGATAAAATTTATTCTGAAACATCATTTTACCAGAACATTATTATGATCTCTACTTGTTTAGCATGCTAGTGTCCAATGTTCAAAAAAAGTACGTTAAACAATAGTATCGTGCAATGAAAGAGCATCCAGCTTGACGAGCAGAGTAGATCTGATACAGGTGTGAAGTCTCGGATCGGCAAAACAATGGCTGAGTTTCTACAGCTGAACTACATTTGGGACTCAAAATGACTGTCAATCAATACCATAATCATTTTCTGCATTCTCTGACATGATACTTCATCTGCTACGTTTTTCTTTAGAACATGACACTACTTACTAATAGTTAGTAGTTCATATTTTCTGACCATAATTTGCAACTCCACTTTATGTTCTCACCTCACGGCATCACACCATTCATTTCAGACATTCATAATCCTACTTATATGTTGCTTTGTTTTTAACGCCTATGTGAGTATTTTTCATGTAGATGATTTTTTTTGATTTTGTGATGTGTGGCACTTTTCCAATCATGATTTATTATGCTGATGAGGCAAATATCTACGAATGATATCATCAAATGATGTAAGAAATCGCAAAATAAATTTAACAAATATTGTAGCAACGAACAAGTTATTCTAATACTATTTTCTGCAATAAAACAAACACAAAAACAATTTGTGAATAAATGAATCCGTTTCAGTTTGGAAGGGTAAATCACAATTCCAAGGACAAATTTCAAGACAGTTCTACTGTATGAGATGGAAACTTGGAGAACTACGACAGCCCTCCCTCATTCACAAGATTCAAGTATTTATTAACAGTTATGTACGCAAAATACTTTACATTCGTTGGCCAGACACTATCAGCAACAACCTATTGTGAGAGAGAACAAATCAGGAAGTGTTGGAAGTGGATGAGACACATTGAAGTAAGCACCCAACTGCGTCACAAGACATGCCCCTCAGGGTCAAAGGAGGAGAGGTAGAAAACATTTTGCCGAGTGTTGGAGACAGACAAGGAAAGAACGAACAACAATTGGACAGAACTATAAAGGAAGGCCCAGAAGTGAGTAAGTTGGAGAAAACGGATCAGCGGCCTTCGCTGCATTGGAGGGTGACAAGCGTGAGTAAACTAGATCGGCGATTTCAATAAAAGATCTATTTAAAACTAGTAAAAAGACACATCCACTGATCAAGTTGTTACTTTAAATAAACTAAAAAAATTAGGTGACATGTGTTATCACATTAAGTTTTGTATTGATTAATTCAAATTAGAAAGTAAAAGTCCACTTGTTTACTTTGAATATCATATTCACTGTGAAAAAATTTGATGATTGACGTATATATAGCACAGATAAAATAATTTTCTATTCTTATTCAACATTTTATTATTATTGACAATGATTGAAATGGTGAACATAGTAATTTATGAACAATATGAAATAGGGGAAATTTATTTTCAAATTAAAAATTTTTTATTCAACAATTAATGATGTGTACACAGAGATTATTTACAACACAAGGAGAACAATGGAAAAAGAGAAAAAACGAATGTTTACAAGAAGAGAAATAAAAACAACAAAAGAAATTGGCATTTTAGAAAATAATTTATACAAAAAAAAAATATTTCACTTTCATTGAATAAGTCTCTTTTTTATTTATTGTCTACAATTGATGATCATCAGTCATAATAATGTTTCTTTCATTGTCTCATTCATGGAATTTTCTAATTTACGAATTTTCGATGTTAATGTATGCAGCTGCATTGATAATGATTCTTCATGTCTATTACAATTTGTATTGAATGCATTTCGTTTAATTACAATCGATTGTAAATAAGTTTCTATTTTATTTTTATTAAATTGATTCAATGATAAATTCATTGCATTTGTACGTGTCATACATGGTTCATCTAGAAAAGAAAAGATACAAATAAAAGAAAGAATAAAAAGACACATTCAATATTTTATGCATAATGCACGACCCTCAGGCTACTTATTTACTAGCAGGACTCGAATCCACGACCTTCGATCATGTGCGCGAACGCTTAACCCGTGAGAAACACAGAGCTAGCCGGCATCTGACGGTGTTGATGTCTAATTTTGATCAATCTGAGGGGTTTATGCAACCTCTCCCATTGTCTTCGGCAGTTACTGCGCACACCCGTCAGGATTGAATTCCACTAGTCACGTCTTCTCATTAGAACTCCTAGAATTTCTTCAGGAAGCTAGTCATTAGTGAGCACATTTTTCGATTTTGTGTCAGAATATTGCAGAGATGGTAGTTTTTTTATATCTTGAAATCATAAAACCTGTGAGCAGCAGCAGTCATGCATACGCACAACTGACGAGCCACACAGAAGGACTAAACGGCCGTCTTTCAAGTGTTTTCAGGTTTCTAATGCTGGCGCCTAACACAATGATTCATTCATGATTTCAAGGTAAAACTATGATCTCCATAATATCCTGAGCGATAAATTTAAAAGTTGTCTTTATTAAGAAATTTTATAAAAAAAGATTATATTTTTACTTACTTAATTTTTTAAAGTGTTCAATCAACTGATTCAAAATGTTGTCTGGTTTAATTTGACAAATTAATTTTGTAATGGTACGTGACATGTTAGTTAATTGAACTAGTTCAATATTATGCAATTTTGTGTTATTCTCATTGTTCAATAGTAAATTTGATAGATTATTTAAACAATTTCGAACTAGCGCAAAAAACAAATTTAAATTAGGCGCTAAATACACTGAAGGTGAAGGTGATTGTTCAATTGACAATGATGATGATGATGCAGCAGCAGCAATTGAAGAATTCATAGGAATGAATAATTTATTCATGTGTAATGTGAACTCTTTTTCAATTTTATCAAAACAAGTAAGAATCCATTGATTAATTGTTGCATTTAAATGTAATTGTTTTGAAACAATTATCCAATTTTCAATGTACATATTCCATGATGTAGACAGTAGAGTGAAATTATTAGTTTCATGTTCATGTTTATCATGTGAATTAATACATAATAAATTGAGAATATTTTCTGGTAGTATAAGAATTTCATGAAATAGATCAGTGAGAATTTTATCATTAGGAATTAATTCAGTCAATAGACATGAGATAATTGAATGATATTGATCAATTAAAGATTTTAATGACTGAAAAAGAATTTTTGAAAAGAAAACAAAACCACAAAATTAGAAACAATTAAAATTAATCGAAAAAATTAACAAACAGGTAGCGGGGGGGGAGTAAGTCAATATTTTCAGTAGACTGCTTGATGTTCAATTAATGAATTTGTGAATATTTTGGTCTCGTGTGCTACAACAAGTATGAGGGCGGATATCACTTCCTGGCTGCCCACATCATGGAAGGGTGTTTCTTGAGGAAGCTGAAATAGGAATTGGATTAGTGTTGATCTTAACGACCTGGGAGCGTGACCACAGAGCCCAAGAGACAGCTGCTTGACATCGGCCACATATGGCTTTTTTATGGGATGTTTTCAAATTGTTACCATGGAAATTCGTGGGGTAAGGTAAAATGTGGCATTTTTTGGTGTCAACCTTTTCTAACCGCTCCCTTCCTTGCAAGAAGGCAGCATTGCTGCAGATGCTGGTTGTTCGAGAGAAACACCTTACTGCTACCATACCCCTTTACAGTCAACAGTACGACTTCACCCTTGAACCTTGAGTCACTGCTTTTAGTTTCACCATTCTCCAATGGAGCTTCTTAGCATGGTAGAACCTAAAGAAACATATGTTCCAGCCAATATAGCTGGGTTGGGTCATCCCGATAGGTAAGCTCGACCACTAAGTCAGGGATTAATGAATTGCCGCTTATTCATATTTGAGTGATTAATTCAATGCATGCTAAGTGTAATAACTCCTCCCGGAGCCCCTATGAGGCTACTGTCGGTTCCAAGCCCGTATAAAGGAGGAGGGTTGGGCTTGGGGTTAGCGACCCCACTCCGTAGAAAACTAGCTCGCTAAAAAAACGCTAACCAGAAAAATCAATTCAAACCACTTTAACTCTGCCGTGGGAGTCAGAAGGTTTTCATTCAGAAGTATTATGACGTCTCATGATGAAAGCCGAGTTCCTTCGGAAGTCAGAAGGCCGATGCCCTTTCTGACAACAAGAGCAACCATTCTTTTAGATACATGGAACGTTCGAACATTGTGGGAGACCGGGAGACTGCTGCACAGATGAAAAGATACAACCTAGAGGTGCTTGGAATTAGTAAAACGCATTGGACAAATAAGACTAGCTTCAGGAGAGTTGCAGTTATACTCCAGCCATGAAGAAGAAAATACCTCACACACACACAAGGAGTTGCAGCAATCAACATCAGCCGAACAAGAGAAGAGAAAGTCAAGACACATGCTGAATACACAAAATCAAATATGCTAGTGAAGAGGAGCATCGGAGCCGATAAACGTAAATATGTGGAAGATATATGTGTATATATATATATATATATATATATATATATATATATATATATAATCACTTACTGGGTCAATTAGTCCACACGATTTCCAACTTTCAGATAAATTAGCCAAAGGACGCAGTACAGTCAGATCAATGTACTCATCTATTGAATTATACAATTTTGTGAACAAATTAGTCATTTCAAATGATGATGATGAGGTTGGCAAGGTATATGTTTTCTGAATAGTAGTATTATGTTCATATTGATTTGTATAATTTAAACAACACTTATTCATGAGTATTTGTGTAAAACAATCTTCTATCCAATGAATACCATGTTGTAATTGAATTGACCAGAATGGATTCAGTTGAAATTTTTTCTCAGTCAACAGAGAATTTGATAAATTTAACACATACATATCATCATTATCATCATTCAATATATTGGTGTTCAATGTTGCACAAGCCATATTATCATTGCTGAATGATGAATAAGTTACAGCTAAAATAAATAAACGATGATTATCAATTAGGCTCTTGTTGAAATTCTCCAATAATTGTTTACGAGTAATACTGGATCGATGAAAATGTCCAATGATAATTAGACCAGATAATCTATTGAACAATTCCGATGATGTTGATGATGACCATTCATTGTTCAATAGAATTAAAGGAAAATGTTTTAATTTTTGTGAAATCCAATAGAAAATATTTGTATAATGATGTTGTAAAGTTTTAGTATTATTATTATTATTGGATATAAGAATAGATTTATACAATCCAATTGGATATTGATCAAATATTGGCGAAGATTTTAAAGGATACCAAATTAGTTCATCATCTAACTAAGAAAGTCAATAAAAAATGTTGATGAATATATTTATCATCATTAGAAATGTGCTGTCAAATTTAGACATTTACTATACACATACAAAGAGGCAGAGAGAGAAAATCAATTAAACCAAGTGTGTCCGTTTACAAATGTCATATGAGATGCTATTGGAAATAAATAGTCTTTTAATGCGAATGAGATGTCTAGAATATAACTTCAATTATTGCACATATTGATTGATGGACTGTACTGAATTGGTTTGATGTCACGTTCTACATTCAAGTAACCTGGTATGATTGAGATTGAAGACATTCCTTCTATCCTTCTCTCACATAGCCATACAGAATTCCTTCCTACTCATTACCTACTCGCGATGGTGGTAGGGTGTGGATTTACGAATTTGACAGGATGAAAATTGAATGTTTGGCACTTCACAATCGGGTGCAGCGTATCCATCTAAGGAAATCGGAAAACCTTGTATCCTCAAACCACTGGTGTGCATATTCACTGAGGCAACAAACGAACAATGACATTATTGTTGGTCATCACCTAACCATGGAACTATATTCAATGTTGTTTGACCGCTTTGTCGATTAGACTATTAGATTGAAAGTTCGGAGAGTGGCTCCTTAAATAGCCGTTCGAGAAGCCAGGTAGTAAGTATCATTGCAGTTCCCATTCACAAAATCAATAATTTCCGTGGTACCAAGTACAAGCTTCACGATAATATATCCATATATCCATACATATATATACCATAATACACTGCATCAATGTGAATGTGAATTTACTTTTCAAAAATTCAAAATCAATTCCAGTTGTTTAAATACACATCAAGTAGTATTTGTTGACACAAAAATAATAATTTACTTTTAATAATTCCGGTGAAATACGTGAATAACTTGAATGTTTCAATAAATCAATTGGAGATAAATGTGCTTCTTCATCTTCTTTATTCTGCTTATTCTGTTTATTATTGATCATTAAACATAAAGGTAAACAATCAGCAATCACTGATGTTGGCATTGTATTCAATAAAATTCTCTGTTGTATTAATTCTTTACGTTTCCATATTAAATAATGAAAACGATTAAAACAACATTTAATCAATGTATGATTATAAAGTGATGTTGAAATGCATAAAGTTAAACATGATCTAGCTAATTTATTCAATTGTTCATTGATCAATTGATTGACAAATTCATTCTGTTAAAACACACAGAAAAAAAAAGAATTGTACAATGAACATGAACAATCAATCAATTTGAGTATATCAGTTAATTGTCACATTTTCCTATGTTCATAGTCAACCTAGTGTTGTCATCTGTATTCTGGTATATTCTTATTGTGTGTGTGTGTACGTTGGATATTTTGTGATCATGTGAATGAAATTCATCTGTTTTTCCATCTAGAATATTCTAATCATGGTAATTTGTAATTTAAACATAAATACATACTCCGGTTATGATGAAGAAAATGCCTCACATATACATGACGTGGCATTAATGCTGTCTAAAGAAGCACAAAATGTAGTTCTAAGGTGAGAAACTCATGTACTCAGCATTATCAAAGCATCCTTCATAACAAAGAAAAGGGGAAATACGATGAATGTCAATCAGTGCGAGGTAATTACAAATTATAGCAACGAAAACAATGAAGATGAGTTTTATGGGAGCTGGCGGTCAATTGTCAAGAAATGCTCAACAAAGTATTTGATCATTGTGATGAGAGACAATACCGGGTATGAGAACATCATGGAACAACAAGGGCTGGGAGAAAGGAACGAAAATGATGAGAGATTAGCAAATCTATGCGCCTTCAACAAACTGGTCATAGGCAGCACCATATTCCCACATAAGCGCATATACAAAACGGAATGGGTTTCACTAGATCACGATACAGAGAACCAAACCGACCACATCTGCATCAATAAAAAGCTCAGAAGCACTATGAAGAATGTAAGAACAAAGAGAGGAGTTGACATAGCTTCAGATCACCACTTGGTGGTGGCCAAGATGAAACTGAAACGAAAAAAGCTCTAGGAAACTGGTTATACAACATCAAAAAAGTTTAATACGATCTTTATTGAGAGTAGTGGCAAACTGAACGAATTCAAGATAACCCTCAGCAATAGTCAGTCGATTAAAACGTAACCTTTCACGATCTACTCAATAGAGACGAAATAACCATGGAGAAAAACTGGAAAGGTTTTAAAGGAGTAGTAACTTTAGCATTTCATGAGGTTTTGGGACTCAAGAAGCACCATCAAAAAGAATCGATTTAGGTTGATACTGTGAGTAAGATTCAAGCAAGGAAGAACAGGAAGACAGCAATCAACAACCGATGAACAAGAGCAGAGAAAGCAAAGGCATAAGATGAATACACAGAAGTAAAGAAGGGAGTGAAGAGGAATGTCACAGCTGATAAACAAAAATATGTGGAAGATCTGGCAAGAGAAGGAAGCATGAGACAACAATACGATTCAACGAAGAAGCTTGCTGGAAAATGTAGTAAACCAGAACGACCAGTGAACAAAAAGGTAGACAAACCAATCACTAATATTCAAGAACAACGAAACAGATGGGTAGAGCACTTTGAAGAATGCCTGAAAAGATCAGCACCACTGAATACACCCAACATCGAAATGAAGAAGTTAACATCTGAATGGAAGCACAGCATAGAGTGAACAACTACGATGCAGCTGGACGATCTGGCTCTTCTATCACACACGCAACAACAAATGCAAGGGAAGACGACTACTGTCGCAGCTATAGGTCTCAACATACACAAGACAAAAGCAAGATCCTCCGATACAACGCAACATGAGCCAACCAAATCACTCTTGATGGAGAGAACATTAAAACCTTTATATATCTGGGCAGTATCATCGACAATCAAGGTGGACGCGATGCAGATGTAAAGGCGCGGATTGTCAAAGCAAGGGCTGTATTTCTTTAACTGAACAACATCTGCAATTCAAAACAACTATCGACGAACACCAAAGTCAGAATTTTCAATAAAATTGTCAAGACAGTTCTACTGTATGGGGTGGAAATTCGGAAAACTACGAAAGCCATCATTAAGAAGATACAAGTATTTATTAATAGTTGTCTACGCAAAATACTTCAGATCCGTTGGCCAGACACCATCAGTAACAACGTACTGTGGGAGAGAAGAAACCAGATTCCAGTGGAAGAGGAAATCAGGAAGAAGCACTGGAGTTGGATAGGACATACATTCCGATGAGTACCCAACTGTGTCACAAGACAAGCCCCCACTTGTAACCCTTAAGGTGAAATGTCAAGAGGAAGGCCAAGGAATAAATTATGCCGAGAAATCGAGAGAGACATGAGAAGAATGAACAACAATTAAGTGGAACAGGAAAGGATGAACCAGGATAGAGTAGGCTGTACAATACTGGTCAGTGGCCTATGCTCTATAGGGGCTAATAGGCATAAGTAATTGGGATATGAAATAATTCATTAGAATAATGATGAGTTGTATTTCCAAGTCTTGGTGTTCATTATTTTAAAAAAAATATCACAGTACAATCTGGTTAAGTTTTTTTTCATATGTCAATTGTCTTCTTTTTTTTTATCAAATTGTTTATAGAATAAAATTAATCCCAGTGTTAAGGGAGACAATAATTCATTACAAGGATGCAGTATATAAAAAAAAATGCCAAGTGAACTTGATCAATTGCAGTCGTAACAAAAACTAAACTACACAATAACAATTGATACTACTGTACAGTTTTAAAAATACCATTGAAATAATGGAGCAGAATATATATTACTGAAACAACAATTTTAATCAATGTGATAATCTCCATACATATATATACATGAATGTTTTATTGTTCAATTGTTTGAAAGTTGAACATTTTGTTTATGTGTGATAATAGATTCCTTGTTTTTGAATGATATTTTGTAGTTTTTTATTTTGACTAATGATACTTTGAAATAATTAATGTCAAGTGCATGGAGGTGGAATATGTTGCACAGTTGCACACGGTTGTTATCATTTGAAATGCCATTTATTAATTAAGTTGTAAGATTTCTTCTTTCTTTTCATCCAAACACACTATTGACGCTTAGTTGATTGTGATAGATTTCAATCAACTGTACTACTACTTACTACTAAAAATTTTTCACAATGTTTCATCATCAACAAAGCTGATTGACACTTGAATAAAAGTAAAGCAAAGCCTATAAATGCATATGGTTTCATCGAATTATGATGACTGATAGTCAACAATCTGTATCCATCATTTCACAAAGATTATTTTAGTGCAATAAAGTTTTCGAAAAGCGATCAAACGGTTGACAACACAACAGAGGATAACATGAATTCAGAATAAAATTTTATAAAATATCCATAAGTTCTCTAAAACAAAAAAAAAAAAACAACTTCCATAAATGAAACTTACATAAAGCAATTCTAGAATGAATTCACGTTGAGCCAAATTGTGTAAATCTACATCGAATGTTTCAGTGATGACATTTTCTATGATCTGTTTATCGATTTGACGAAGTGGATTTAATTTTTTATGAAATATCTAAATAATAAAAACAATGAAAATGAATAATCCTTGAATCAAGTTGATTAGATGTCACAACTAGTAAAAAGATGATTGTGATTTGACCTTGCTAACACGAGTTCAACACTAATCCAAATAACTAAGTGTTAGCATAAACATAGGCACATGTAGACATCTGTATTTATTAACAGTAAAATATAATCAGTAAGCAGCCTGTAAACATGAGAAAGTAACAATTCAACTCAGTGATAGATGTCATACATTGATATAAAACATATTGGCCAGACAACAATCTATAGTAAATAGACCATCGTTCTGTAGTAAGAGTGCATAGTGAATAACCACCACGGGGGTTATCGTATACCAAATAAAATACCTGCTGCCCTGTGAGCATCAAATGACTAAAATGTGTAGTTATCAGTCATTCTTCAATAAAAAAAGGTAATTAAGAGGTATAAGAAGGATTTGATTGTGACTAGTTTGAATTCGTGTGTTGTTACGAGTATGAGGGCGGATATCACTTCTCGGCTACCCATATCATGGAAGGGGTATTCCTCGAGGAACCTGAAAAGGAAGGTAGATTAGTGTTGGTCTTATAGATCTGGGAGTGTGACCTCAGAGCCCAAGGGACAACTGCTTCAGGCCGGTCACACACAACCTTTTTATGGAAAGTTTGTAAAGTGCAAGCTCCGCTCTTCAAGTGGCCTTACCATCAGAAACGGTAATCCGTGAGGTAAGGTGAGGTGTGAAATTTTTAGGTTCAACCTTTTCTAACCCTCTTCTTCCTTGTGAGGTAGCATCGTGGCAAATGCTGGTTGTCTGAGAGAAACATCTTACTGCTGTCACCACTCCCTACAGTCAACTGGAGCCGAAGTTGCTGCTTTTAGTTATATCGTTCTGCGATCCACTTCCGTGGCATGGTAGAACCTACAGGAACATATGTTCCAGCCGATATAACTCAGTCGGGTTATCACGATAGGCAAGGTAGCAGCTACGGTCGGGTAGTGTAGACTATCTGGTTAGAGTCGGCGGGATAATAGTAACTGATGGCTAGAGACCTTGAATGATATGGCTGAAAATCGTTTGCAATGCCACAGATGCATTCATGCTGTGTTCCCCCAAATTCTAATCTGAATTCCTCATGACCTTCGTCTTTCTCTTCTCAAATTTATTCCACTGGATTATACTCCCTGAATAACATTTGTAAATCTTAATTTTTTCGATTACAGCTCATAATTCTATTATCTCCACCACTATGGGATTTCAATCGACAATTGCATCTTGTGATATAGCAACTTGAACTGATGCACATACATACATACGTACAAAGTTCTACGTTGTTGCTGACTGGTGGCTGACTGATTGATTTGAATAAATAAATAAATTAAAAAAAACCCGCAATTTAAGTGAATCACAATGATAAAAAAAAACCTACATCAATCAGATGTTCTTCAATAAAATCTTTAATTAATTTTTCCATTAGTTCATTAATAATCATCTCTTCAAGGTGAATAGTTTGAATAAATTTCGAATAGTTTAAGAGTAGTACATCATCAATGCATTGATTATAAATAAATTCTAATAATTCATTAGATATTTGCTTTTTATTCAATGTATCACTACGAACATTATTATTATTGTTATTATGATGATTATTATTATTGTCAACAATATGATTGTTATAATTCAATGTAGCAGTAGTAGTAGTAGTAGCAGCAGTCACATGAACATTGTCAATTAGTGTAGGAGTTTTGTGTGAATCAATATTATATTTACCATTTATATCAAATGATGATTGAACAGGATAAGGTATTGCATCAGATGGATTGATAGATGAACCATTGAATAAAACAGACAATGGAATACCAACACGTTTACTTTCAATTAACTTAAAAAAAGAATTGTAAGAGGAAGTCAATAGAAATTAAAAAAAAACAAAATACAAATCAATTGTTAATAATGACACATGGATTGTGAATATGATATATTTGTTTTGAAAAAAAAAAGTAAAGAAAAATAATTTTCCAATGTTACTACTGTCTTCCTCTTCATATCATTTAGTTTACACATAAAATAACTCCTATCATTATATACACATTTGTGTATCAAAGTATTCTGATGATAAGTTGTGCTTTGTTAAAGGTTAAACACCTACCATGATGACAATGACTAGTGTGATGAGTGAAAAAGCCTAGTCCATCTAACTTCGCCTAAAGATCTCAAGGCCGGGATATAAAAGAACGAAAGGGTTGGACATAGAGAGCTTAGCCAAGTTCAACGCGTAGAAAATTAAACTAAATGTTTACATGTACACTTATATATTACGTGAATAGATGGAATCCTACTCTTGTGCTTAATTCACTTTGTACTTGTCAGTTAGAATTATTTTCCTCTGCTTACACCTAAGTTTATATTTATCAAAGTTTGTATGATAATACCATATCAAATTGAATATGAAATAAACTCAGGTAATAGTTGAGGTGTTGTAAATTGTTAGACTGTTTCGTCAATGTTGATTGGTTTCGGTTAATCCTTCGTCTTATAACTGTTTGGATAGTTGTCTTGATTATCAACCTCTTTGATATGATCTTCAACTATGATTTCTCTGGTCTTTTTAATAGTATCTCCATCTGTGATTTCAACATTTATCTAATCCGATCAGCTTCTATATTTATGCCCATTGGTATGCTTGAACTATCAAAAGTTCACCTTACTCCGTAAACGAAGCGCAGATAAATGATGCAGTGACACGACAGGCTATTCTAATCTGATTGTCCCAGTTCCCACTAACAAAAGCAAGAAGTCTTGATAAGGTGTAGAGAGTGTAATCTACAGGCACCCAGCTGCTCACAAATCAGGCTTATTTATACAAAGATAGCAACGCCCTTGGGAGAGTCACAAAATAGCGTACTAAAATAATCTGTCAACCAATGACAGTCAAGGAGTTTCCCAGTGGGAAATGTAAGCTAGAGGTCAACTGGCGCGAAGACGTAGAAATTCAAAATTCCAGGAATCAATTACAAAATTAGGACCTTTTCCAAGTGAGATTAGTTCTAATGTATTTAATGGAAAGAAACATATCCCACACATTAAACAAGATATAAATATACTCATTGAATGAATAAGTATTTTCAGATAGGCAATTAATTTCTTTTGGAAAAGTCATTGTAAGAAGATAAGCATAGAAATAATGGAATTAAATAAAAGTAGGGAAAGTGGAATTATGAGATGGTGGAGAAAATTTGTAACTCAGGTGGATGATT